GGAGAGCATGTGAAAATTATATATACCCTAGAACGGAAGCCGCTAAGACGACGCAGCGGAAGTTCTCTCGGTGCCTATCAAGGTGTGGCAATGTTTGGCCGCCCGTTTCCTAAATGTCGAAAAACACGTCATTCTCGCGATCGTCTTTTATTGTTCGTAAATTCTCCTACGTCTGCATAGCGGCAATAAAAGTCTTTATATTGCCCCTTATCGAGAGGGTAGGCTAGAAGGAGAGACCAAGTGAGTGGGTATTTCGGTTGATAACAAGAACCTCGAAGATAACAGCTTTCTTATTGAATTTACCGTATGAGTCAGAGGCTTTTATGGAATGTTAAAAGCCGAGGCCAGAGGCCAGAAAAAATGCATACAAGAAAGAAGGTGGAGGGACTGATGACAGCAAGACAAGGAAAGCAATTTGGAAGATATTTTCAGATTAAACTTCTGCGGAAATGGCTGCCAGAGAGTGGTGTGTGATGTTGCGGTTCGCTGCCTGTCCACCCTGCAAGCAAAGGCATTTTAGCGGTCACTTTCCTGTGGCTGAAAGAATCTGTAAACAGTATAAAATGAGGGACACTTTATATCCCGTGCAGTAAATTCCAGAGGAAAGTTCCGCCGCGGCCACGGAATTCGTGTAAAATAAGTTTGTATTCATTATCTTAATGTCACTGCCTAAATTTTGAAGATCTCAGACACATACAAATGCATATTGTTTGTACGATTAAAATGTACATTCCTTTTCCCATGCATAATAAATGGTTACGTCATAACCTACAGTACTATAAACATTTAGTGCCCTGAAACTTTCCACGGGATCCATGCCATGAGAATCGTGCCCAAACGGCGTGGGTATTGCCTCAGCAGTTCAGCGGGATTTCATTTAGAATTCCCCGCTGATATTTACCCACCGTTAGTTTCGTACTGCAGTTTATGCAGCTATCATACCATTAATCATTACTGTATTCATCATCATTAGCATTGTAATTAATAACAAAATAATTATTCTTCTTGCTATTACTATTATCCTTAATCCAATACTTTATTGATAATCACTGTTTTTATTATCAGTAACGTTATTATTGATATTACTATTATAAACATATCATAATGAAATGGACATTGATGGTATTACTTTATTGTTATTTTTATTATTATCATCGCGATTACTGATGTTCTTCTTGTTATTATTATCATTGTTATTGTTATTATCAATATAATAACAATAATTATCATTATTTTTATTATGGTTATTATCTGTTATCAGTTATTGTTATTATTATTATTATTATTATTATTATTATTATTATTATTATTATTATTATTGTTATTATCATTATCATTATTATTAGCATTAGCATTATTATTATCATTTTATCATTGCTATTTATTATCATATTATCATTATTATTATTATTATTATTATTATTATTATTATTGTTATTATTATTATATTATTATTATTATTATTATTATTATTATTTATTGTTATTATTATTATTATTATCATCATATCATCATCATCATCATCATTATTATTAGCATTATAATCATTATTATTACTATCATTATTATTGTTATTATTATCCTTTGCATTGTTATTATTATTTTTATCATTATTATTATAATCCTAATTATTAACATTATCATCATTATCATTATTATTATCATTATTACTATTATTAATATTATTATTATATTATTATTATTATTATTATTATTATTATTATTATTATTATATTATTATTATTATTATTATTATTATCATTATATTATTATTATTATTATTACTATTATCATTATCATCATTATCATTACTGTCATCATTATTATCATCATCATCATCATCACCATCATCATCATCATCATCATCATCATCATCATCATCATCATCATCATCATCATCATCATCATCATCATCATTATCCTCATTATTATTATCATCATCATTATCATTAATATTTTATTATTATTATTATTATTATTATTATTATTATTATTATTATTATTATTATTATTATTATTATATTATTATCATTATTATCATCATTATTATTATTATTATTATCATTATTATATTATTAATATTTTATATTATATATTATTATTATTATTATTATTATTATTATTATTATTATATTATTATTATTATTATTATATTATTATTATCATTATTATTATCATTATATTATTATATTATCACCATCATGATTATTGTTGTTATCACCATCATGATTATTGTTATTACTATCATTGTTACTATCATTATTATTACTATTACCATTACGATTATCATTATTATCATTATTGTTATTATTATTGTTGTTGTTGATGATGATGATGATGTTGCCATTGTTTTATCATTATTATTATCATCCATCATCATCGTCATTATCATTATCATCATCTTCACTTCATCATTATCAATATCATTATTATTATTATTATTTACTATTATCGTTATTATCATTATTGTTACTATCATTATCATTAATATTATGATTTCTATTATCATTATTATTGATATCATTACTGATATGCATTATCATTAGTACTACTACTACTACTACTACTGCTATTATCATATTATCACTACTCTATACTAAAGTGATTATTATCATTACTATTATTATTATTATCATTTATATCACGTAGTAGTTGCAATAATAGTAGTGGTAGTGGTATTATTACTGTTATTATTATCATTATCATTACTATTTCACCATTCATTATTTTTTAAAATTATCATGTTTGTTATTATCATTATCATTACCTCCACCAAGGAGATTATGTTTTAGAAGTGTTGGTGTTTGTTAATTTTTTCGTTGGTTAGCAGGATAACTCAAAAATGAACATATTTTCATTATCTTTACCAGAGGTGCGTCCTAAGCCTAACTTAGATGCGGACCATGATTCATGATGCGGATCCAGGAATTTTAATTGCAACAGTGATATTAATATTGCATGGCGGGTGGATGCTCTGAGTGCTCCTAGCATATTATTGTCATTTTATTGTTACTAATATTGTTAATTAATCTTATTTTATCATTATCATTACCACTATTATGACAAATACTACTACTACTATTATTATTATTATATTATTACTATTATCATTTCTGCTACTAGAAGCTGTAATGATAATATCATTATCATTACTATTACTATCTTTTAATGCTTACATAACTATAACTACTTTATTATCATTATTACAATTATCATTATTATCATCATTATTATCATTATTATTGTTATTATTATTACCACTACTACCATCATTATCATATTATAATTATATTTCCTCTTTTATCATTATTGTTTACTAACCTCTTGCTACTACTATTACTGTCACCATTATCATAGTCATTATTGTAATCACTATTATTGTTATTACTATCACTATTATTTTTTTATTGTTTTTTATTATTACCATTAGTAATAGTAGTAGCAGCCGTAGTAGTAATAGTGATAACAATAGCAGCAGTACTAGTAATGCGCTACTACTAACAACAGTATTGATAGTAGTAGAAATAGTAGTAGCGTGGTAGGTGATGTTGTTTCTGTTATTATTGTTTGTTGAAATTCGTTATCATCACCATTAATATCATTACTACTTCGATTGTCATCACTACCATTACCTTTACTGTTATCATCTTTGAACTCCCGAATCCGCCGTCTGCCTGGGCGTCTCCTGAACGAGTTCTTGTAAGCGCCAGCGTGAGTCAGGGGCTGCGGCCGAGGACGCGGGGAGGGTGAGCGATCGCCAGTCAGGGCCAGGATATGCCAAGTCCGCTGGCTCTGAGTCACGAGTTACGGTCTTTGACCCACCACAGTTTATTGCTTAAGGTTAAGAGAAGACCAAATTGCATGTCCTTTTCAAATCAGTTTGGCTTCAATAAGTGTTTTTCATCTATTTAAACAAAATATTTTCATTAAATTCCATGATAGCTCGTTATTTTAAGGCATGGTCAGGGACACGTCTTACATACATTCATGGCATGCTGTAATTACATGCTCTCATTACTCTTTCTTGACAAACGAGAGGCACTTCCATGTCGGCCTTGACTCTGGTTGTGACAACATTTCGTTACTGTGGAAAAGCAATTTGTGCGCTTTGTGAGAAAAGGGTAACAGTATCATGCACTGACGAAAAGCGTTGTTGATATTAAAAGGTAGAACAGAGACCATCTGATATATATTTTATTGTCATCACTAAACGAAGTTATTTGGTATAGCCATCAACAAAAGAGACTGATCTGACCTGGCGTGAGTCTCGCGCTGGGATGTAAATCTGGCGAAAATTGCAAGGGAATCACTTGAGGGCGCCCCTATTTACGATATCTATCAAGTTATGAGAAAGATGCTAATTTTGGTAAGACACACACAAAAAGATGAATCCAAACAAATGATTCCGCTGGACCACAGTTGTTGCCGTCTTGGCCAGCACAAAGACGTTCATTTGTTTGTTTTTTGTAAGTGGAAATGTTGGATCAAATCTGAACCATGTGGAAAGTGGTTATGGCGAGATAGACGAGAATCAGAGTAAAATATTAGGTAAGAGAAATCAGATATTTTAAAGAACGTGATAGAAAAAACGAGAAAGGCGGGGAGGATGGATGCGTGAGTCACGAGCCCCCAAAATTGACCTGCGCTCGGGAGGAGCCTTCGTAATCCCCCGGTCAGACCGGCCCTCGTGACTCACACCCTGCGTCGGGCCCTGTGGCACTCGAAAGCAAGGGAACAAAAGGAATGATACTAACACAGAAATGGCAGTGTGTGCGTGTATAGTTGTGTGTATGTGTGTTATCGCCAGTGCAACATTACAAATAACTAATGCAGCAAGATTTTTGGTTCATGGCAAAAAAAAGAAAGTGAAAGATGTATGGATAGACGTAGATAGACATATAGAGAAAGATAAACTGAGAGAAAGGGAGAGAGAATGATATTTTGCTAAAATGTGATAATTCCAGTAACAAATGATAGTAATGGTGATTAGCAGTATTCAT